GTCGGCAGTTCCTACGTTCCTTTGTTTTCCCCTTAACTACACATACCTAAGCTTACTGAGGCCTCATATGCTTCCAACCCATTCCAGCATACCCTCTCTCCGAGCAATTACCTGTAATTCGTCCGTCAGTGCAGGCGCTTCCGAAGCATTTTGCCAGACATGTGACAGCTCCTGGCCCCACACTACACCCCGCCGACTGTGTCCCGGTCCTTAGTCCTGAATCGGGCGGAAATGAAGCCGCCGTTCATAAGCAAACATGACAGCTCCACGCTCCCATTAGCGTTCCAATTTTGTTGTTTGCAACTCCTTTCTTTCCTATTTCCCATTTCCAGTTCGATGACGAAGCGTGACAAACAATAACAACAGTAGCACAGTAGCTTCGAGCAACAGAAAAGATCGGAAAAGTGCACCGAGGCGAGGGCTTTCCACCAGGAGGTGACAGGCTTTGGAAAACGGCGGAGTGAGAGTTGCTTAAATAGGGCTAAACCGCCGACCGCAAAAACAAATTAAGTAAATTCAGTAAACAAGCAAACTAGCGACAACAACAAATCTGGCTTTGTGGTAAAAGAACTGGAGGAAGGGACGATGCACAGAAGGAAAGTGGACTTAAATAGACAGCGATGCAATATAATGTGTATATTTTTAAGACAATTTCCATTTGTAGAGCAAACGAAGAACTGAATTAGTGACTTAGAATTCACAACTGAGGAGCATTAAAATCGAAATGTGAAACGTTCTCGTTCATTTCTCCCAGTGCAAGGAGCGCAGAATTGAAATAAACAATGAGCAGCAAATGGGCAAAAAGCAAAAGCTAAAAAAAGTGGAAAAAAGCAACAATAAAATAGGCGACAAGCAGCAACAACGGGCAATCATAAAGCGACGCAATCAAATGATAATAAAAAGCAGCGACGATTACGCCGGCTGCGACGCCGACAGCGCAGCCACAGTGGGGCTTCAGCTCCCCGATTGTTTTGCATACATTCGGTATACGGTATACGGCATATACAGCAAAGGTGAAACGCGAAGAAAGGGCGATGGGGAGAAAGAGGGCTCCGACCCAGTCGAAGAAGCTATAGCAATTCCCAATTCCACATTCAAATGCAAAACAAATTCAAGAAAATCGAACAGCAGATAGAAGCCAGCGACGTTGACAACGCCGAAAGAAAGGCAGAAACTTGGTGTCATCGTATGAAAAACAAACAGCTGGGGTCGCATATATGGGAGTCGAGTCCGAGTAGTATGGGAGGCCCATAAAAACTGTTTGAATCTGCGCTAATTTATGCCACTCCAAAGGGTAGGCAGCCCGAACTTTGGCGGTTGGAACGAAAATCGTAATTAAACTAGGTATCTATCTTATCTTTGCTAAGTGCTAACTGCCATTATGCTCGGAACACGGATGAATTTACGTTTACAAAAAGCGACTTTAATCCCATTAACCCTTCATGTAAGGCCTAACATCAAGTATGCGACGTGTATGTCATTGGAAGATCAAGTACGCTTGTTATTTGGAAGCTGTCCTAACACATTTCAGTATTTTGATAGAATTATTTGAATATTTATCTTATCTTAATTAATATCAATGCGAACAAGTACCGGTGCGAGTTCATTGCTACATTATTGAAATAACTGAACGGAGCGATTATTTTGACAAATGTTTGGTTATTACTTAGGAGAGTATACTATTTGCTACTACGGAATTATTGGTCAAGTCGAAACTAATCTCACTTTGGAATGAGTTCAAAACCCGACTGTTGAGTCGTACATGAATATGCATGTACTTCAAGGGATGAGAGATAGTTGAAATATACTTCAAATATATTAGTTTTGCGTTCACCATTACACTTTTCGAACTATCAGCCTGTGTGCTACTATTTTCACCCCCACTGTATGGCTGTGTAAATATCTGAGCGTTATGTGGCCACGACAAAATATTGATTGAAAATCAATAGGCTCGGCCGCCTGTCATATATTCTATGATTGCCCGGCGGCAGAGAACTCAGAATTCAAATGTCGATGCGATCCAACTGCCAGCCGGCAAACTCACTTCAATCATTTATAGAAGTCTATATATACACTTGGTATATACATATGTACGTGTATGTAAGTATGTACATTAAGCACTCGAACGTTAACATGCACACTCGTATGTGTGTCAGTAGTTTTGATGTTCGTGCGTGTGGCGATGACAAGCTCGGCTTGATAATTTAAACACGTAGCCCTCGACTAGAGCTTCTGCCATGGACTGCGCCCCCAAAACACCACCCACCCGCCCCAAACCTCTCCCAACCCGCCACCCCATGGCTCGGCACCGACACACACACTTGCACACATGCCATAGCGTATAGAGCAAAACAGACGTAAAAAATCGAAAAAAAAACACACAAAAATGTCAACACACTTTTATTGTTGTTGATGTAATACCCTGCATAGATAGGGGAAGGTAGTGTATCAACTACTTCCCCATTTGCCGTTCAATTTAAAAATATCTAAGAAGAACGCACACAGTAAGAAAATCATTTGAATTTTTAAAAACCAAACAGTAATATTATTTGGATCATATATGAATGCCGAAGTCCTGTTAAAATAAGGATCATCCTTGCACACCTCTATATTTTGAATATAAAAATACTCGACATAGATAAGTGTTGTAGAAAAAATTAACAAAAAGTTTGATATTTGTACCGAGTTAAAAATACCGTATAAAGTCAATCTTAGTGTGATTTGAGTATATGGGAATTAAAATTACTCTTTTTTCCATCGAAAACTTTGGCATCGGCTGCCGAGAAATGTCCTAGTAAAAAGGGTTGCCTATTTAAAAGGGGTACATTTCGGTCGAACCTTTTGGGACAGGCGTTATTATTTTTGCTGTCTGTGTGGCGCTTTTTGGGGCTGTCGTTGTAATCGACTTTGTTGTTGCCGTTGCCGCTGCCGCAAAACAAAAATGCCAAAGAAGAGAATAAAGTAGAGCACCCAAGTCGGCGACGTTAGCGCAAGCAGCGACGCCAGCAGCGTAAGCCGCACTCAGCAAAAAAAGAACGTTCGATTATGGTGGAAAATGGAAAGGGGTGGTGGTGAGGGGGAAGGGGAAGCGTATGCACTCAAGCAGCAAATAAACCACGTATTCACACACACTCGACATACTTACACAGATATTCAAAACAAAGTACATAAACAAAAATATAAATAATTGAATTTTAAAAACACATTTCCCCTTAAAATAAATGTAATACTTTTAGGAATTTTAGATCTAAACAAATATCAGACCAATTTCGTATATTAAACCTTAATAATCTTAAAATATAATAAATAATTTTGCTTGTGTACGAACCTCAACAGTTTTTCGACATTTTGGGGCTATTTTCCCTGCTGCTGTTGTTGCTTCTGCTGCACCCTCAGTCGCTGTCGCAGTTGACGTCTACGGCGCAGTCGCTGCTCACTTAAATGTTCTCTTCGCTGCCGTTACTGTTATTGTTTGTTTTTGTTGTGTATTTTTTTCGCCTTGTTTCGCTTGATTATTTGTTGTTGTTTTTTTTCAGTTTTTTTTCTCCCCCAGCTTGTAACTTGCAATATAATTTAATAGTAACTGATGTGCTTGCTGCTGTGGCTTGTTGTTGCTTCTGTACTTCACTTAATATTCGGCTACGCACTCAAACATACACAGGGAGAAATTATGGAGCGGAATAGGTACATAGCTGACACAAGTTTGGCGTTTCACTTTCAAGGTAACACACGTCGTATGAGCGATATCCGCTGATAATAACGATATACACATGACACATGAAGTACATATATTAAATTGCACTGTTGCTTCGCTCTTCCACTTTTATTATTTCTATTTCCTCGGACTGTTGGCACGAATTAGATATGACAGTTGGGAACGTCAGCAAAACACACACTTTAAAGCCGGCATTGAAAACGCTCTATTTCCCGAACCGTGTATCTTTTTTCCAGCACACACTTGTACAGGTGGCAAAAAGGCAAAAAAGCGGCGCGTAAATGCCGGAGAACAGAAACAGAAATTATACAACTTTCCGTAGTGGTAGTAAAATACAAAAGTTAATAACAACGCGACAAACAGAAAAAAAACACGACAGAACGTAACCGAACGGAATCCAGCGATGCGGTGTGCCAGCTTACGCATCCGAGCACGTCCGTTCTCTTCGAAAACAAAAACGCGAATGAGCAATTCGACAAACGGTAAAAGCACACACGGCGGATGAGTGCTAATTGCGCTCAGCACGCGTCGCAACGGGAGAGAGCGAGAGAGAGAGAGCGGAGAGAGTACAGCGCTCTCTTTCTCTGTGCGCGAGTGAGATAGCTCTCACAGGTGGTTGGAGGGGGTGTCTCGTTTTACACTGAAAGAAAACCATTGCTTTGCCTATGTGCAATCTAATGTTCTGTAAATCTTTTGATGTGTAGTTTTCAATAACATTTTTTTCCTGTTTGTGTATATAAAGCAATACTAAAAACCGTCGAAAGGGATGCACAGAAATCTACAGATACACCGCATTCTATGTACATATAATTTCATGAACCTTTTTAAGTGGCCTCTAAGCATATTTTTTAAGACACTCAAATTTCTTCCTGTCCAGTCGTATCTGCGATATTGTTAAAGAATGCTCGCGTAAACGCTAAGAACCAAAGCAATCAAGGGGTGCTAATTGAACCGCTTCGTGATGAGTTTACCGTTAGACTAAATAACCGATGATTAACCAGAGAGCCAAAAATTTGAAGATGATTTGAAGAACTGTTAACTATATATTTTAATATTTTTGTTATAATATTTTTTGAAAATTACATGATTCCTTCAGAAGTATTGGGCTATTATCACAAATTTCAGTGTAATTATTTTTGTTGGATAGCTCAAGTGAGTAATTTGAACTATAGTTCAAAAGTGCTCAATGTAGCTGGTCAATAGCTTTTAAATAAATATTTAAAAGACCGTTAAAAGTAAGATACGTCTGTTAAATAACATTGCGATTTAAGAGTATTTTGACATTTAGGCGATTGCCTAAAACGGTCACACTGTGCTCAGCAAAGAAGAAGAATGGTCTTTTGAAGAAGTGATTAAATTGATTTAAGTGTCTTAAAATTGAATTCATTGTTTACCAAAATGACCGAGGACTGGCAGAGTCAGAAGTTCCGTCAGAATGTCATCTCCAAAATGTAATTTTAAAAGATTTCTGCGATTTCCATGCTAAAAATTCTGTTTTTTTGCAGCCACGACTTGTTGCCACCAAATGCACAGGACCAGACTAAAAATGCCGGCGTTATGGAGAACCACATATTTCGGAAGTCGCGTACCAAGGACGAGTATTTAGGACTGGTAGCCAAGCTTTTTATGCATTACAAGGACATGTCCCGAAAGTCCCAGCAACAGCAGCAGCAGCAACAACAACAGCAGGGTGGCCCGCCCCCAAATGCAGAAATGGGCGGCGGGCAGAATATGATGCAGGATCCACTGAACGCACTTCAGAATCTTGCTAGTCAAGGGAATCGCAATCCCCAGATGATGCCAATGGGCGCTGGGGGAGGAGCTCCAGTGCCCGGTGGCCCCGGAACCGCATCTAATTTGCTACAATCCCTGAATCAGCAGCGCCCTGGACAGCAGCAAATGCAACCCATGCCCAATATCCGTGGTCAAATGCCCATGGGTGCCGGTGGAGCTGGAGCCCAGCAGATGATGCAGGTTCAACAGATGCAGCAAGGCGGAAATGCCCCCGGAGTGATGAACGTGATGGGTTCCGGCGGCGGGCAGAATCAGGGACAGATTGTCGGAAATCCCGGTCAGCAGATGGGCGTGGGCGTTGGCATGCCCAACCAAATGGTAGGACCGGGACCAAACAGTGGACCCGCTGTCGGCGGAGCCGTCGGAGCAAATGCTGCTCCAGGAGCAGGGGGCCCCGGGCCAAATCAGATGCAGGGCGGGCCGATGAACGTAAATGCCATGCAACAGATGCCTCCCATGCAGCAAATTCAGCAGAGCCAAATGGGGGCAAGTATATCATTGCTCATTATGATAAATTAATTATATCCTTCGTTCTGTCCTTTAGATGGGTATGAATCCCATGATGAGAATGGGCCAAGGCAACGGAATGGGCGGACCCCAAGGAATGCCCGGCCAGGGTATGCAGGGAATGCCTCAGGGACCACACAATGTAGTTGGCGGACCTGCGGGTCAACAACAAGTGGGTGGAGCAGGTCTGCCTCCCAATGCTGTGCAACAGGGAGGAATGAACCCCATGGGCGGTATGGGTGTGAACATGCCACCGAATTTGCAGCAAAAGCCAAACATGCCCATGGGCCAGGGGGGCCAGATGTTTCCCGGTAATCGAGGAGGTGTGGGAGTGGGTGGCCAGCAACCGGGACAGCCCTTCATGCGATCCAGTCCCTCGCCAGCGGATGCTCAGCAATTGCAGCAACAGGCTCAGCTTCAGCAAATGCAACAACAGCAGCAACAGCTGGTGGTGGGCAATCAGACGCCCACTCAGCAACCTCCGACACCGCAAATGTCCACGTCCAATATGATTCCCAGTCCGGCACTGGTTCCCCAGTCCAGTCCGCAGATGATGCAGATGCAGAATTCGCAGCGCAATATTCGGCAGCAGTCTCCGAGCGCCTCGATCAACACACCTGGTCAGGTGACTGGTAACAGTCCATTTAATCCCCAGGAGGAGGCATTGTACCGCGAGAAATATAAACAGCTGACCAAGTACATCGACCCTTTGAAACGGATGCTTGCCAAGATCAGCAACGACGGAACAAGTAAGTAGTAGACCTTCACACTTGGGTTTTTTAGCAATTCTTGCATGTTTAAATCGTTGTACTGATAAAAAAAGGAATAATCATAAATAGTTTAATTAGTAACTGGTAGTTTAATTAACTGCTCTGCAAGGTGCAAGAACTAACTACCATTTATATCACGGGCTTATATATTTCCTAGCATTATTCGTATTCTCCAAGTATGTATTGTGAAACTAATACTATTGTTATTTAATAGATGTGGAGAAGATGACAAAGATGAGTAAGTTGTTGGAGATTCTGTGCAATCCTACACAGCGCGTGCCCCTCGAGACTCTTCTGAAGTGTGAAAAAGCCCTTGAGAAGATGGATCTTATCTCCTATTCCGGCCAGCAGTTTGGCGTAAGTAGATCTACTTCCAACGGGCAACTTTATAATATTCTTCTTTATATCAGAAATCCTCGAATCCCTTGCTGGAGGTTATAAATACAACACTCCAAAGTCCAGTGGCAAATCACACACTGCATCGCACATTCCGACCCACTTTGGAACTGCTCTTTGGTACGGATATAACAGCTCCAGTGCCCGCGAAGCGACCTCGAGTGGTGGAAAAGTCCACGTCTTTTGAGCAGGAGGTGCCACATGTGCTTCAAGGCGAAATTGCTAGGCTGGACACCAAGTTTAAAGTGAAATTGGACACCACATCACAGATAAACAACAAGACCATTCGCTTGATTTGTTGCCTAGATGACAAACGATTGCCCAGTGTTCCGCCAGTAAGTGTCAGTGTGCCGGAGGAATATCCGTGGCAGGCTCCGGACTGCTCCTTGGCGGAACAGGAGTATTCAGCCACCCCCTTCCTGCAGACGGTGCAACAAGCTCTCATCGCCCGCATCTCAAAGTTGCCCAAGAACTACTCGCTTTCACATTTGTTGGACACCTGGGAGATGGCTGTGCGACAGGCGTGTTCGCCCCAATCGAAACCCAGAGCAGTCTGTGAACTTTCCACTTTGCTGGGAGTTTAGCTCAACTATTTGCTTAAATGCAACTATAAATTTACATTTTTTAGCCTAAGCTAAAAGTGCGTACGTTACGTGAGTTTATCACTTATTTATTTGAAAATCATTTTAACTTGGCCTTTCATTCTAGATATATTTTTGTATTTGTTGGAAGGTTTACCCCTCTATCCGGCCTAATGCAACTATAAACATTCATTCTATCTAAGCTAGGCAAAAAGTGTGGGAAGTTAAGTAAGTTAATATCTTGTTTACCTTTAAATCAAAGGATAATCCAATGTTCGACTTCATTTTAGATGCCCAAAATGTCTCCAATGGATTTTGTGGATACAAATATTTACATATAAGACAAATGGCTTTTATAGCTAAAATAAAATAAAACCAATTATTTCAAATAACTTTGAGCTGCAGCGCGTTAAAACATCCCGTTATATACACAACACACTCATCAATTAAATCAAAGAAAAATCTACACATCAAGCAAAAAACATTCCACACTAAATTCAACACCAAATTGGGGCTCTATATTTCTAAATTGTATTATTCGGATGAGATTTTTAAAAAAGGTAAGCGTGAACTCTTTGATATGGGGTTTGTAGCTATTAAAAATTACCTTCAGCTTTATTTGGTTTCTCGCCAAAACGAAAGCCCCCGCAACAGACTTATTCCTCCCATTTTATACAATCGATTTAGTGTTCTTTGGAAAATATGTATATTTTCATTTGTTGAGATTGGAATCGTGTTATGATCCGTTATTTCTATTTGTTTTCTTTTACTTTTTTCACATTTAGCAATAAATACAATTGTGTGTGTTTAAGCTTAAAAGAATTACACCGACAACTATGGTACGATAGAAAAGAGTTAAGAAAACTTATATATCACAGATGTTGGACGCCGAATGCGTCTCTTTATAATATGTACAAACACTAGGGATATTCAGAATATAAATCTGAAGAAGATCGCTTAGATAAGAAGTGTGCTGCGTGCTCCTGGAAAAGAAGTGGCATCTATCCGATTTGGGTATTACGTATTGAATTTGAAGTTGATATATGCACAAAACGGTGACAAGATCTAGCTCCTAACTAAGCTTAAGTCTACGCCAGCTACATTAGAGGAAAAGGCATTTCGAATTCGACTCAGATGTAAATTTGTAAATGTTTTGCAATTTGGTGGGAATTTATCTCTGTTTAGCTGGCGATACTGTCGGGCTGAGATTGGTTCTGGTGCTGCTCGTACTGCTCTTCTCATCGCTGCACTTGAAGCAGGGTTCCGCCGAAGGTGAAACTGCTGGCCTGCTGCTGTAGCCTGAGCAGATCTTGGGCGCTGTAGACTTGCAAGCTGGCGGAGGTGATGGGCGAGGAACTGGCGCTGGAGCTCGCCGGTGCTATCGCTCGCAAATGGAGCGAGGCGTCGCAGAGGGAAGCCGCTACCGAGGCTGATGTGTTGTTGTGGGCCAGGGAGACATGTCGGTTCACACCGTTCGCCTTGTCCTTGTTGTGTCGTTTGACGTGCTTCGACAGGTGGTCGCTCCTCATGAATTTCTTCTGGCAGACGCTGCACTGGAACTTCTTTTCGCCAGTGTGGGTACGTTTGTGTCGGGACAACTCATCGGAGCGGGAGAATCTTTTGTCACAGTTCTCCCACTTGCAGATGAAGGGTCGCTCGCCGGTGTGAACCCTCTGGTGGGCCTTCAGGTGACTGCTTTTGAAGTAATTCTTGCCGCAGTCGGGGAAACTGCACTCGTAGATGCGACTTCTGGTGGCCGCCGCCTGAGCGGCCGTAATTCTGGTGGTTAGTTTCTCCTCGGACAGTGTAGGTGTTTTGGATATGGGTGTGGGACTCTGTTGGGCGGCCACTGTGCTGAGCAGGATAAGTTGGCTGGCAGACGAAGCTACTGGGCTAACATAGATCGGTGTCAGAATAGGTTTGACTTCCTCCTCCTCGATGCGTTCCGTTGGAGCAGGAGAAGTTACAAGCTTCGGAGCTTGTGTCTCGGGTGTTTGTACGGGGGGTAGAGCCACTTCTGCGGCACGCTTCCTGTTCATTTTGAACTTGAGATTGCGCCACACATTGGCCTCTGGATAGTCGTCCTCCACAGTGGGTGGTACTGAACTTGTACTTGTGTTTGTGTTGCAAGAGGAACTGCAGCAGGAGGTGGAACTGGATGAGTTCTCGTCTTGGCTACTAGAAGAGACAGCGCCAGAGCTGCTGACCCGCATGATGACGCTAACCCTTTCCGCCTTGTGATCATCATCTAGCTTCTGATCCGGCGGCGGTGTCATGCTCATAGCAGGCTGTTCCAAACGGGGTTTCTTGTTGGGAACCCCCATTTCGGGAGACTCGTCTTCCGTGTCTGAGGGATTCGGTGTGATAATCCCTCCATTTTTCTGGCTCTTTTGGGCCACCAGCTTGAGCTTGGCCTTGAGCAGGTTCTCGTTCACCTGTTGCTCGTCCTTGGCGACCTGAAATGAGGAAAGGACAAGTTCAGGGTTAGTGAGGGTTCGTTAACATTGTTGAGTTCAGGTTCTGAGCAGTGCATTCACATTCCCATTCACTTTTCGCTGACCAGCATTGACCCACAATAACTTTTCCCCGCAATCCGCTAATTACGCCGACGGCTGCAAGGCCGTTCACCGTTAACCTTCACACACCCTGCACCACCCCACCCAACTCCAGGTTCAATGCTCCGTCGAAAGGCCAAGGAGACATTTTTTTTGGCGGTTTTTGAACTCTTTTAAAGGCCGTTTGGGGTGAGAGAATATTACTCATTAAATGTGGCTGCCTGTTGTGCTTTAAATTATGAACGCAGAAATGTAAATGAGCATCAGTTCAGTGAAATGCATGGTCTTGCTGACATTAATGTCTTGAAATTGTTGCTGTCCTAAAAAAAGTTTTGTAAATTTTCAAATAGTTTTGAGTCCTACGACTTACATTTTATGAATGAAAATCTGAGCAACTGTTGCGTTTTCAGCGCAAATTCTAGAACTTATTGATGTGGCCATTTAAGAGTACCATTTAAGAGTTGCGCCTGAAAGCAGGCAAGGAAAGTGCAGCCACATCACCGATATTATTATGACGTGCTTCAGGTGGGTGATTTCATGGGGAAGGCGATTGCGAGGGGTGTATTATGACTCGTGCGAAGACGTCGAAATCTTTTTATGGGCTCGGCACGTTGCGCTCTTATGTGCGACAGTGTTTGTTTGTTTCTTTCTTGGCCAGATAAAAAACGAGCCAGAAATGTGACACGGTTTTATGGGTTGGGGCTTGGCCTGTTTGCCTAGCTTTTGGCTTGGCCCTCTCTTTCCTCTCGCTCCCCGCTCCAACGCTCCACCACTCGCCCACAGTTGCCAATTGGCAACTCACCTTTTCTCTCTCTCGCGTTTCTGTTGTTTTTTCCTAGTGGTGCCAAGTCCAATGTTCAGCTACGGCCTCTCGCTCGCACTCACACATCACTCGCTGTGCATGCGGTGTTCACGTGAAAGCGTGCTGGCTGCGTGATCGCATGGCTGTGTGCGAGTGCGAGCGGGACGAAGCACTTTGTTTTTAGAAACGCGGCAAGTGGAAGCGAGAGCGAGCTAAGTACGATTCCGTTTGATTTTCCGCTGCCTTGAATGCACTATCCCCACTCAATAAGCACTAATTACACTAGTGTACACTGCATATATCCGTTTTGTAGGTCACTTACGTTTTCCAACTTGTTTTCCCTCAGTGGGGGCGTTGCGGGCGGTGAAGGTAGCAAGGTATCCATGTCCATTGCACTTTCAAATTTCAGTTGCACTCTCTTTTTTTGAAGAGTCTGTGTTTGTTTGTTTGTTTGTTTTGCTCCGGGGCTTATCACTTGGTTTAATCTCAGTTTGTGTAAATTTTTGCACTCTAGTTAACTTTGCACTGGCGCTTTCGAGTGCCGCTTGCCGTTTTGGAGCGAAGGCGAACCGTTGCGTTCAGAATTCAAGAGACGAATGAAAAAGGCAAAGCCATTCAGCTCCCAGCAGAGCTGCCGCCGCCGACGTCGCTGCCGGCAGAGGCTACGCGAGTGTGAGTGAGTGGAACCGCCGACGACGTAATCACTGGGAAGCGGGCAAGTGTGTGTGTGCGGGCCATCGTCATCGGCAGTGGAGCAACCAGTGCAATGTAACCCGGACGAACATCAGCCAGCAACGTGGGCAGCACCTCCTCGGGCTCCTCTCTCTCGGGCGCAAAAAGGTCAGGTCTCCTGCTCACTCACCTCTCAGCAGCCCACGTGCACCGGAGAAAATAACTAAATTTGTACATGTTATGTTGGGAGGGCAATAAGTTAAAAGAGATCCAGGGGAAGCCCCGACTTAAGATTTTCATATCGTTTTTGGAAAACTGTCAATAAATGTATGGCTACCATTTTAAATGAAATTAAATGTATAAGATATATTGCTGTCGTTTTCAAGGAGACCCACCAATTCACCAAATTTGAATTGATTTTCTCTCCGTGCAGGACACAGACACACAGCCAGTAGGAGAGAGGCCCGCAGAGCACGTAATCAACGCATGGACGTCATCAGCTGTTCACTGCGGGGTCTTGGGTGCTAGAGAGATCGGGCAGCATAAGAGGAGCTGGGGAGGGGAAGGGGCTCCAGGGGCTGTCTATTCATAGGCTGTGCATGCCCCAGCCGCGTGCACAGCGCACACCAACCGACACACTCACAGACACACCCCAAAGCCGTGACTGAGTAGCTGACGTAGTTGTTGCCACGGAAGTCTGTGAATAATCGGCTAAAAAAATACTTAAAAACTGGCTCGAAACCTGGCAGACGCCCCTCAAGCTGGAATCTAAGACCTGGTCGCATATATTTGCATTAACTTCGGAAGTCTGACTTTAAGCAGACGCGGATTTCATTAATAAACGAAAGGCAGAGTGGGAAAGCAAGAGAGTGTGGGAGCTCAACAGTTGATGGAAGGCATTGCCAGGCCCAAGAAACGGGGAGATAACAAAGATGAGTCACGAAAAGCAGGCATTTCAAAATGCGCTTATTACCAGTGGCATGTAACTCAATTATTCGTCAATTGATTAAATTTATTTCGTTCGAAAACCCTCCTTGGACACTGGTAAATTCTACCTGGCAATGCTCGCGTTTCGCCTGTAACAGTTTTCAAAGCAAAAAGGGGCTCGTGCACGGAGCACACACACCAAAGAGCGAACGCCAGAAACAGCTGTGGCTATAGGCGCTCGACCGCTCTCTTGCGCAACAACAACGAATAACTAGCACGCCATACCTCACACCAGACTTGTGGGGCGACTGTTCACGCCGTCTAGGGTATTCAGGGGTAGTATAGGGCTCTGAGAAGTTCCAGGGTGGTTTTTCTTCGCATTTCCTTCAAGTCACTCTATATTTGTTGATGCTAAACTCTATTGGCCATTTTTTGCCGGTTGCTGTGAAAATCAAATCTTAGTTCTGCCCATCCATCGCCTACTGCTTTGTCGCCGCTTTTAGAGGGTATGCCCAAGTGGACCCCTCGGAAAATAACCTTCTTACTGGCTGAACAGCTCGCCTGG